GGGCAGTGGGGGGAGATAGTTCCCCCCGGGGGAGGGGCAGCGGGTTAGGGGGGAGGATGGAAGGAGCATTGGGCGGGGGAGGCAGCAGGGAGGGGCAGCCGTGGTGTGGGGCAGCCTAGGAATCTTGGGTTTCTTTCCTTGACTGGGGAGAAGACTGGCAAACTGAATGACCATGGTGTAAGGAAAAAGAAAAATTCTCCAACTGTTCCGACAGGGGGCGCACAAAACCCCCATCCCAGGGGTGGGAGCCGCTCAGCTCCTGGATCTGCCTCTGGGGGTCAAGCTGCCTATGATCCCAGGAAGTGATACTGTGTTCTTTACTACCAATATCAGTGAGAAGGTAAAGCAAATTTAATTGTCTTGTAATTACATTCAAATGTCTGACACTTCCATAACTGTTTCTCTTCTTGCTGTTAGAGACTTAGAGCAAAGCACGTTAAGGGAATTTGTGTAAGTCGTTTTCCTAAAGGTATTGCTTAGAGTGTGAAGCAGTTTCATACAGTATGGCTTGGATAGAATCATGATCAAAAAGTTTACATCCTTAGCTCTTTTTAAATGTATACCTTTTTAGAAACACACTGATAATAAGCCTTTACCTATACCTATATGCTGTTTGTGCTTACAACAAACATACTTGTTTGAAAGTCTATCACTATTGACAGTTAATTATGTGTTATAATTTTAACTAGTACTAACCTGGACTAAGCTCTCTTCTGAAACAGGCATCTTTTGAGCCAAATTTTAGCTCAGAGTGTTTTAAAAAATGTATTTAAATTTTTTGTTTAGTACTGTAATTCACTTTAGTTATCTATATAAATAATTACTGACACCTGGTGTCTTGACTCATACCTATAATCTCAATTCTTTGAGCCATGTCAAATCAATAAATCAACAAATCAACAAATCACATGAAACTCCATAAATAGGAATGATTTTTATATATTAGTTTTAAAAAACAAATGAACCTCACAAAATCTGAGTCACAGTTACACAAGTTCTGTTAAAATATTCTTGAAACTCCACTACTGATAACTCAATGATACAACTTCCCTTTGTTCTAGAAATTTAGTTGTTCATTCTGCTTTTTAAACTATATTTACTATTTTTTCATTCTTTTCTGGTAACTGTTAACTTATTTGTCCACTAGTTTTTACAGAATTCTCTAAGAGCTTTTTAATAAAACTTCTACATATATTCATTTGATTATAATTAGACCCTAGAGTATTTCCTTCAAAATTGGCTTTGTGAAATTCTTTTTCTCAGTATAATCTCTTTTATAAATTAATAGTTTCCATTATTTATACATTTTGAGCAAAACCAGTCGACGAGATCAGGGATACCCTAACGCTAATGAATGCATTTATTAAAAAGTGCTTTCCATTTATAGGTAAGTGAATCATCTTCCTCTTGAGAAACTTGCCTGTTAAAAGTCAACACCTGAGAGAAATTGACAGCTAAATGCTACCATTCAAAAGAGACAACCAATTCCTTCCTTGACTTATTTATCATTATTGATTGCTTCCCTTCTAGAGAAGATGTGATCTTATCTGGTCTAAATCTCTCTGGATTAGACTTTAGGCTAAAGGATTCCTTTCTTTGCTCTCTCTGAGTAGCTTTGGTAATCAATCAATCTACTTTTGTTATTAGGACCTTTGAAAGTTATTACAGTTGGGACTGGAGAGGTTCCTCAGCAGTTCAAAGCAATGGCTGCTCATTCAGAGTATCAGGATTTGGTTCCCAGCACCCAGATGGCTGCTAAAAACCAACTATGACTCCAGTTCCAGGGGTTCCAACACCCTCTTTTGGCCTCTATGGGCATTTCATGACACGGGTAGATTTACTCACATGCAGACAATAGGCAGTGTCCTCAACTCTAGGTCCAGGGAAGCTGACACCCTCTTCTGATATTCATGGGCTCTGTACATCATGGGTGCACGTAACATGCTTGGTGGCAATACACTCATACACATAAAATTAAAATAATAAAATATTTAAAGGTAGTAAAATTTGTTGAGTTATACATAAACTGAACACAGATGTCACAAACTGGTACCTATAGGTACTCTTGGACTGGTGCACAATATTATGTGGTAGTGTGAATTGAATTGGATACTTGCAAACAGGACACACACTCTCTACTTTTCCAGATTCCCCACATATTCTAATTGGCATCACCTGCTTTCTGATTTGGCGTTGCTTTGTACTAGTACTTTTGTTGTTGTGTTTAAAAAAGTGAAAAAAATGCAGACATTATCACCTTGCCACATAGACGTCCATCATTCATGTTTTCTACTTCAGAAGACCTTATATAAGTGATTATCATCATTCTCCCTTTGAAAAATTAACTGAGAACTCATACCAAAACTTTGATGTTTTTGACCATACGTGTCATAACATAACTCAGCTGTTTCCTCTGTAATAAACACAGGGAAATGTGACATTACCAGTCTTTCTCTCCTTTTATAACTTTTTTATTAGCTGAAGTTAAGATTGGTCTTTGCACATATGGTGAAAACTCATTTTCTGTAAATATGCTTTAAAGCTAGTAATTCAATAAGTTGAACTATATGATGTAGATAAAACTTTATAACATCCAGAGAATATTGAGTTTGTTAAAGGTCTCAAGACACTGTGGTTCTTTATCCTTAAGACTTTTTTATCCCTAAGTTTTTAATCTCTAAGCTTTTCTTCTACTATTTGTACCTTTTGCTTTCATTTACTCATAATGAAATATATTCCATTATTTTCTTTACTTTTAGAGGATTGAAACATGATTATAATTAATATTACCCTTTTTTCTTTCAAATATAGCACCTTGATCTGAGAGGACAAAACACGGACAGAATCTTAGCATTGACTTTATTCCTTAAAGTATATTGTACACTCTTAACTTTCTTTTCTTCTCCTGTATTTTTGTTTTGGGGCCAGAAGCTGATACAATAGGGGAAAGAATTAATTTAGTGAGGCTGCTTAAAGTATTTCATCTAGGTGAGGGAAAGAAGGGAAGGCTTGCCCAAAGTAAATCCTTCTGTTGGTTGCTTATTCCCAGCTCCAATTTAAATTGCATGTTTGGTTTTATAGTAATGTCAACAGGTTAATTGAAATTGAAAATACATTAATTTATATTTGTAACATATTAATATCTATGTTTGCAGCTTTTTCAACCTTCCTATGGTTTTAACCTGAGTGATCCTTATTGTCGACTTTTGGAAACCCAATATAAAAGTCTCCACGATCCACATTTAAGAGCATACTATAAGCGCAAAGATATCCTGAGGAGATTAAAGAAAGGAGGCTACATTACCAGCAACAATAAAGTGGGTTGAAGGTTACTTTTTTCTAACCAAGGAAAACTTTTAATATTTCTATGCTTGCTTCTCTACCTTAGTGAAGAGTCAATATCACCATTAATTTGACCATAACAGGAAATGTCTTGGCTAGTTCTATAGGAGATTCAGTGTCCTAGTTTGCTTTCTCTTGGGAATAAAAGCGTTTGTTGTATCTTGCACTTCCAAGTAATATTCCATCATTGAGGGAGGTCAGGTTGGGAACTGAAGTCAGAACTTGGAGGCAGGAGCTGTAGCAGAAACCATGGAGGAATGCTGCCTTCTGTCCCCGTCATCCCATCCAGTGTGGTAGTTGTCGTCTTCATCTGTGCCCCCCCCACGCACTTTTCTTACATAGTCTAGGCCCACCTGCCTAGGGATGGCACTACCCATAGGGTTGAGTTGTCCTACATCAACAGTTAAGAACACGCCTTACAGACATGCCCTTAGGCCAGTGTGATGAAGGTAGTAGTGCTCAATTGAGGTTCCCCCTTCCCAGGTGGTACCAGTTTGTCTCAAGTTGATGAAAGAAAACTAACCAACACACTCAGGGACCAGACAATGGGTATTTCTAAATGAAACTATTTCCTTCACCATTTTTTTTCTTTTTAGTATCAAAAGATTATTGACAAAAAATTTGAGGAGACAAAAGTGTATTAATTTTCCCAGCTGAATCATTGTTCTCTTTTTCTGTCTCTAATGTTTCTGTATTCATGTAAGTGCTGGATACTTTTAAAAGCTTCAGATGAAAGAGAATGTAAGAAAATTTAGTCTGTTAGAATCCTGAGAGATTATTCTTACTGGATTTGAACATTACTATGTTTACAATGGAAGCCCAGTTATAATTAATTAGAATTATTATTTTAATAACTATAATTATTTGTGATTACTAAATTTCTTCTTAGAGTATGGTTATAATAATAAAGTTTTATTTGGAATAGAA